CCGCCGCCTTGGTCTCCCTGGACAGCGCATTCCCTCACCTCCGGCTACACGGGGGAGGCAGAGCGCCTGGCTCTCCCCGGGTGGGAGCAGGCTGGCCTGTCTGTGTGTCTCGGGCACGCTGAAGGCTTGTTTCCTCAAAGCTGAATCTGAAAGAAATCCCTGCTGGGCCTGTAATGGTTTGCCAGACTTTGCAAACGCCCTGGAGTGGCAAAAAGGTTTTGTACATTATGTTAAGTAACCTGGGTTAAAATGCTGTCTCTTTCCTCCTGCTGTGTGCAAAGTTGGTGTTAGTATTAGGGGACCTTCACATCCCACACCGGTGCAGTGGTCTACCAGTGAAGTTCAAGAAGCTGCTAGTTCCAGGAAAGATTCAACACATCTTGTGTACAGGAAACCTCTGCACAAAGGAGAGCTATGACTACCTCAGGACTTTGGCTGGGGACATCCACGTTGTTAGGGGGGACTCTGAGGTAATGTTCTTGCTGCTGTTATTCTTTGTCCTGCCTTCATGTATGCTGTGGTTGTCTTGATGAAACCTGGGGGAGTCCTTCAGCATTAGCAATTCCTGAACTGTGACTCACCAGGATAGAAAGTAGGGATGAGTAAGACTGAAAAAACAAAATTATTTTCTAGACCCTTCTTGTTGCATTTGCAGCAAGGGGGACCGGTTGGGGGCGGGTAGCATGTGCACTTGATTCATGTTAACTCTGGCACAAGTCTGTTTGCTGTGAGGCTGCTGAAGTCCCCCAGCTGGCTGTGTAGTTGCAGGAACTGGGGACTTGTGTATGTGTGTTTAGTTACTGTTGGGTAGCCTTGAGGCTCCTAATCTCTGTGCAAACTCCTCATTCCTTGCTCTGCAGTTGCTCTTGCTGGGGTGTGGTACAAGCATCCAGTGGGTCTGCATGTTGAAAGAGACCTTGTGTTCTCAAATAATGAAAGGCAGGTCTGTGTCTTGGAATGTAGGAGCCTGAATTGTGTAGGTGAGGGCTGATTTGTAGGCTGTGTCTTTCTCCTTCTCAGAGCCTGAATTATCCTGAAGAGAAAGTTGTAACTGTGGGGCAGTTCAGAATTGGGCTGATTCACGGCCACCAAGTTATTCCCTGGGGTGACATGGCCAGCCTGGCACTGCTGCAGAGGCAGCTGGATGTGGACATTCTCATCTCTGGACACACGCACAGATTTGAAGCATTTGAACACGAAAACAAATTCTACATCAACCCTGGATCAGCTACAGGAGCCTACAGTGCTTTGGAAATGTGAGTGAGGGGGCCCTGAGATGCCCAGCACAGCAGAGCCCATAGGCATTACCTGAAATGTCTGCATTCACCTGCAAGTGTCTGACCACTGTGCTGCAGAGTGCTGGCAAGGTGCTGTGAGGAGCAGCAGGGCAGCTCTCTCCCTTCCTGGGGAACGCAGCAGGCCTCCTCCACTACGAGGGTTTTACTGAGCGCACGTGTTGGGCACGACAGCCTGGCACTG